CTCCTCTTAAGGTTGTAACACAAGGAGTAGGATTTGAAGATAAATGAGTACTTAATGATTCCTCATCCCGAAAGTCCCATCCAAGGATAGGTCAAGCTCAAAATGACCATTAAAGGGGACATAAGTGGTTAAACTATAAGACCTAAATTTTTTAAAAGAATTTTCAAAACCTCCTAAACATAAAATAAAAACTTTCAAAAATCATTTTTGAAGAAATTTTTTCAAAGAATGCTCTTAAATTCCCAACCTTATTTTTTCAAAAATCTATCACTCATTAAAAATTTCAAATTATGTCTTACAAGTTTGTTAGAAAATCTTAATTTCTGACTATCCTATGCCCAACACCTAGTTTTATTTTCAAAATTGTCTCTATTTTTAAATTTTTTTTAAATGTTCTCCAAAATGGAGTTGAACAACCTATATATGATGTAACCATGTTTCTGTCTTTTTCAGTCTCGAAGATTGGGCTAAAAAACTTTAGGAAAACTCTCTTTTTGGAAAAATTCCACTAGAAGCCTCCAAAACAACATGGAAAAAATCATAAAATAGCGAATAGTGACACCAAAAACATGTTGGAATTGAACGAGACACACCCCAGCTAGGCTCAACAAAACCTCCAATATGAGCTAGCAGTGTGTCTTGGTTAGTGACACAAGGCATGCCACTAGGCCTAACGGGCTCAACAATGCGGTCCACGTGTTAACAAGTTTCGGGCCATGAAACAATCCAAAACATTCCACAAGGTTCCAAAAGATTCTAGATGTTTCTAGGAGATTTTTGGATAAGTTCTTAACGAATTTTGATTAGGATTTTGACTAGCCAAGCCCTATCAAACCTAGAGATAAACCAAGGAATCCTAATCTTATAAAAGGATATTCTCTAATTTAGTAGCCATTTGAATCCCCCAAGGCTTCCATAATTCAACAAACTAAAATTCCCCAAAAAATCTAAGGAAACAACAAAAATCATAGAATTTTCCTTACTAATCAATAACCTAAAATCCTAGAAAAATCTCAAAAAAATACCCATAATTCCCTGAGCCAAGAATAAACCCTAGAAAATTCTATACTAAAAATCCTAAGCCAAATGTCTACAAATTCCTACTAAATTCTTTACAAATCTTCAATACAAAGAAAACCCTTTCAAGTCAATACTTCAAGAAAAATAGAAGGCATCAGAGGTGTAAATCAACCCGTAGTCAAATATAGGTCCCAACTCTGAGATTCTCAAGTAAGTTTTCTTTTCTTTTCTTTAGCTGAATTTTAGTTAAATTTAACCTTTTATTTTCTTTATCTCTTTTTCTAGTTTTCATGGTTTCTTTGCCCACTTTTTGAGCGGTTACAAGCCGGCATAGCCGTCGGTTCTCAGAGAAGGCTAATCTTTCGAGATCAATATCTAATTTTGAATCGTTATTTGACAGATACCATATTTTCCATTGAAATATAAGTGTTTAAGTTGAAAGCACGATTAAAAGAGTATTTCATCCAAAATTCTCTAAGATTTCAGCTAAAAATAAGAAATCTCTTAGGACCCGTTTGGTTTTATGGATTCAGATTTCTAGATGTCACTTTTTCTAGAAAGGCTGAGCCAATTGTGTTTGTTTCACGTAGAATTGACATTTCCGTTGGAATTGAGATTTTCGTGAGATTTTGACTGCTTATTTTAAGCCTAAATTTTGGAAATCTCAATTCCACCAAAATAGGTGGAATTGACATTTCATGGAAATGACTCATTTTGCTGTTGAAGAACAAAAAATTATTTAAATTTTAGAGAGGAAAACTATATAAAATTTTAGAAAGAGAAAACATATAGAATTTTAAAGAAGGAAACTGTAATAAATTTTAGAGAGAGAAAGCATACAAATTTTTTTAGAGAGAAAATATATGAATTTGTTAGAGAGAGAAGCTATCTAAAATTTAAAGTTTTAGATAGACCATATTAAAATTTTAGAGAGAGAGAAACTATCTCAATCTTAAGTTTTAGAGAGAGGAACTACTTGAAAATTTTTAGAGAGAAATATCTCAAGAGAGAGAAATTATCTCAAATTTTATGTTTTAGAGAGAGCATATTAAAATTTTAGAGATTAGAAACTCTATCAAATTTTAGATAGAGAAACTTCTGAAAATTTTTAGACACATCATATTAAAATTTTAGAGATTAGAAACTATATCAAATTTTAGATACAGAAGCTTTTGAAAATATTTAGAGAGATAAACTATCTCAAATTTTAAGTTTTAGAGAGAGAAAATATCTTAAAACTTTAGAGAGAGAAGCTATATCAAATTTAGAGACATAAAGTGCCTAAATTTTTTTAGAGAGAGAAACTATTTAAAAATTTTGAAATAGAGAAACTATCTCAAATTTTAAGTTTTAGAGAGAGAAAGTATATTAAAATTTTAAAAAAGAAACTAATTGAAACTTTTAGAGAGAGAAGCTATCTCGAATTTTAAATTTTAGAGAGAGAAAATATCTTAGAACTTTAAAGAGAGAAACTATATCAAATTTTAGATAGAGAAAGTACCTAAAATTTTTAGAGAGAGAAACTATTTAAAGAAATTTAAATGGAGAAACAATATCAAATTTTAAGTTTTAGAGAGAGGAAGTATATTAAAATTTTAGAGAGAGAAACTACCTGATAATTTTAGAGAGAGAAACTATCTCAAAATTTAAGTTTTAGAGAGAGAAAGTATCTTAAATTTTTAGAGAGAGTAACTATATCAAATTTTAGATTGAGAAAGTACCAAAAATTTCTTAGAGACCATCTTAAAATTTTTAGAAAGAAACCATCTTAAATTTTAAGTTTTAGATAGACAAAGTATCCTAAAATTTTAAAGAGAGCAATTATATTATATTTTAGAGAGAGAAACTACCTGAAATTGTTTAGAGAGAGAAAATATCTCAAATTTTTTATAGAGAGAAACTAACTCAAATTTTAAGTTTTAGAGAGAAACTATATCAAATTTTAGAGGAAGAAAGTACATAAATTTTTTAGAGAGAGAAACTACCTCAAAATATTTTGACAGGGAGAGATTGTTTCAAATTTTAAAATTTTGAATGAGTATATTAAAATTTTAGAGAGAGAAACTCTCTCATATTTTTTAGAGAGAGAGAGAAAGGGTTTGCATTTTCAAAGAAAAAATATTCCAGTTAATCCAAACAGGGAATTTGCATTTCTTTTTATTTCTACTAGATACGATCCAAACAACATATACCATATTCTAAAAAATGTCAATTCCATAATTGACTTTTCCTAAGATTGAAAAATCCAGGGATCCAAACTGGCCCTTAACACGTAGGAATTTCTATCCATTATAACAATAACAATACTTATCTCAACAAAATAAATGTCAATATTATAAATGAATTGGAAAACTTATGTGTTTTTAATCAAAAGGCAAATAATTACAAAAGTATTGAGAAATTTTTGAATCAAATACATAAGAATTAAATAAAAATATAATATTATGAATTGAGAAACTTATGTTTTTAATTAAAAAGGAAATAATTACAATAGGATTGGGAAAGTCTTGAATCAAATGCATAAGAATTAAATAAAAATATAATATTAATTCATAAAACTTATCCAAAGGTGTTATTTTAATTATTTAAATATTTAATTATTTTCTATTTAATTTTAAAAAGCCCATAAAAGATAAGGTGCAGTTAGCATACGGATGCATATGTAGCTGTAGAGGTAAGGTGCACCTTCAAATTTTATCATGGTATATAATTTTGATGTCAAAATGTTCTTCGGATTATCACAAAATCTATTTTTATATTTAATTATAAAATTTTAAATTTAAAACATGGCTAAAATCAAATACATCTATAAACAAACGAAATATTGGATACGGACGGTGTAGATAATATGTTGTAAAATGTATTATTTTTAGACTTAAAATCTTTTTATTTTTCATGGTCATACATCACGATGTCGAGATGATATATCAAAGTGTTTTTCAACATTAAAACTACCTTTTATAGATTTTTGAGGTGCATATGTAGTTCTACATTATAAGGTTGCATCCTCGTATAAACTTTTTCCTAAAGATATGTGATGAATAATTGAAAAGGTAAAATGTTAAATAATAGACATTATAGGTACTTTTTCTTTCATAAATATTCGTTATTTTCAGTGAATGAATATCTTGACAATTGATCGTCCACGTGGTCCCAGGACGTTTTTTTCCTAACCGCACCAAAGCAGCACACAAGGCGAATCCGAAAGTTCAGTGAAATATAAGCCCAAAATTTCGGCCGAACTATTTAAATCCAGGTCAAAATTCGTATCTTTTTACAGCTCATGGATCGCGTGTCTTAGGCAAGCCGGCCGTGGAACCGCAACTGCCGCTTCACACGTGCCCTTGAAACGTGTCATTACACGTGCTATGTGACGCGTCACTTTGCGATGCCTACCATTTGGCCCCCAAATCTCTATGGGGCCCAACAGTTGAGCATGACAGGGGATACTACAAATGGTTCCCTGACACGTAGAGAGCCTGGCCCCCACCTGACAGATTACCAAACTACCCCTTAAACCGCAGTGAAAGAGTCCAAGTTAGATTACCCCTCTAAACTTACGAAATTACATTTCGCATTTGTTTATTAGGTGATGATTGAATAATGAAGTTTCCTTTGAATAATTGATCTCCCTCTTTCTAATGTGTTTTTTTTCTTCGAGGTTGGGAGGTTTTTCTCTCTTCCACCATCCTTTATCTCTAAATGGGCTCGTGCCCGGCCGAGCCCGATCTTGATTAGCCAAGCCGGAACCTTTGTTCGGCCCGATTTTCTTGAGAGCCAGCTTAGGCTCTATGGCTTTATCAGGCCGGGCTGGCTAGTAAATTTTTTAAAATAATGTTAAAAAGATAGAAAAATGAAAACCGAACTGGACCGAACGAGCCAAGTTTGGTCAGACCTCCTGGATATTCCTGTATATTCTATTCGTATTGTTAGGTACATATTTTTTTTTATACAACTTAAATTAAGTTACTCATTAAAGGCAGTTGTATTACTTTGTATTTTATTCATGTTGCATTCGTCTTCTTGTTTCTCTCTCCTCCATTGCCCATTATTTTATGCTCTACCCTCCAATGGGCCTCTCCATCCTCTAACTAAAACTATTTTCTCTCAATACTCCTGCACTCGTTCTCTCTATGATTTCTGAATATAACAGTTTGTTTTTATCTACTTTTGGAGTATTGTGGTTTCCATTTAGAGGGTTTTGGTCTTTGGGGTTAAATCACAAAGAGCCAGATTCCATCATTCTCAGAATCCCGAAGACCTTTTTCTCTTTGCTTGGGTTTCTTTGGCTCCCTTCCCTGTTGTGGGTTGTTTTCTCTTTCTGTTAAAAACCTTTATAGCCCATCTCCATGGAATTTAAGAGGAGACAGAAACCCCTGATATTCCCTTTATTCCTTTTAGAAATCTGGGCTTTTTGAGTGCTTTTGGGTCCAAAGCCCTCTGCTTTCTCTGGTTTGTGTGTCCCCCCTGTTGAAGAGCTTGTACTGTCTTTAACTCCTTGTTTCTCAGACTGTTATTGGGGCTTCTTTTTCTGGTTTTCCCAAAGGAACCATAAAAGGTTTTCCAAGGCTCTGTTGAGAAAAGGTGCTTTTTTCTTTTCATCTTTTTGCTTTTTGAGTTGCGGTGGAAGAATTACTACGATGACTGCTGAAGAAAACCAGAAGGGATTGAGGGAAGATGAAAGAAAAGATCGGTTTCCAATTGGTATGCGGGTTTTGGCAGTCGATGATGATCCGACATGTCTGAGATTGATTGAAGCTCTGTTGAAGAGATGCCAATATAATGGTTAGTATTCTCTTTATTTCAGTTTCGTGTATTAAATATTTCTTTGTTTTCTGCTTCATTTGTTAGATTTCATTTACTTTTTGGTTTAATTCTTATATTTTCTTTTTGGAAATACCATGAATAGTTATTTCCTTGTTTTTTGTTGCTTATTTTTGGGGGGTTTCTTTGTTGTGCCTGTTGAATTTTTCTCTTACTGATTTTACACAATAGTGGAGTCTTAGAAGTTTGATGCTACCTGTATATGTATTTTACCCCATTTTAAGTCCCATGCAAGTTATGATGAGTTTTTTTTTTGTAGTATCAAAGATTTGATCTTTATTGTGTGGCACAAGTGTAAAACACTTCGCCTACTTCAAATACTTTTTTTTCCATTTATTTGCTAAAATTTTACTCTGATCTGTACATATGAAACATTTGGATGTTCATTCTTTCTTCCAGTAATTATTTTGCTCACTGTTCTTCCATAATTACAGTGAGTGTGATCCATATCTCTGACATGAACCAGATTGTTTCTTCATTTATCTCCTATAAGTTGGTTGGTTTGAACTGGTTTTGCATTCTCTGATTGGGCCATTTTGATGGTGGATTTGCAGTTACAACCACTGGGCAGGCAAGAACTGCACTAAAAATGTTGAGAGAGAATCGAGACAAATTCGATCTTGTTATCAGTGATGTTCATATGCCTGACATGGATGGCTTCAAGCTTTTGGAGCTTGTTGGCCTGGAAATGGACCTCCCTGTAATAAGTGAGTAACTTACTTTCTGCCTCTTCAATGGGGAATTGCATTGCCACCCGAAATATATGGGGGTTTTTCTTACTCCTTGGTTGGTAGTTTATATGATCTACTTCCTTTTTTTGGGTCAAAATTTCGCAAATTTGTTGCTTTGTTTTTTGGCTTTTCTTTTCTTTTATTTGTATTTTTTGAAAAGCATTTGAATGATCTATTTTATGGTTTTTAATTCTTCAGAAGCTATTGAATTAACCATTTCCATATCCTTTTGGGTTTTCTTCATCTGAGAATTTTTCAGGTTTATCTAGAGTGTTTTTCTGATTTTTTATCGGAATCTTGAGTTTTGCGTTTTTGGTAGATAGAGAGGTTTGTTTGATGGAGCCTGACATATCTCTGATGTCATGGCCATACAGTGCTGTCTGCTATTAGTGACCCAAGTGCTGTGATGAAGGGAATAACTCATGGTGCTTGTGACTATCTGCTCAAACCTGTTCGAATTGAGGAGCTCAAGAACATTTGGCAACATGTTGTTAGAAAGAGAAAGGTGGAGCCTAAGGACCCCAATGTTACCAAGCAAGGAGGAGAAGATGCAGAAAAACTAAGGCATGGTGGGCCTATTACAAATGGGCTAGCGGATCGAAACTCCAAACTTAGTAGGAAAAGGAAAGATCAAAATGAAGAGGATGATGATGATTATGATGAAAATGCCCATGAAAGTGATGACCCATCAACCCAAAAGAAGCCAAGGGTTGTGTGGTCAATTGAGCTGCATCAACAGTTTGTTGCTGCTGTGAATCAGTTGGGGTTAGAAAGTAAGTACTTGTATTCTTTTTCTTTGTTGCTTCTCTCTCCCTATTGTACCCAAAAATGATGAGCTGTGTGGTTTTTAATTGATTCCTTAAAGCTTGGTTTTCTAGTTTGTTAAATTCTTGAAAGAAATAGGGCCTGGTGCTTGAATCAATTAACACTTAAATTGTTCGAAGATGTTGGACTTGGAGTTTGAAGAAATGTTAATACTTGTGCTATTCTGTTACAGAGGCTGTTCCCAAGAGAATTCTTGATCTTATGAATGTTCAAGGGCTCACGAGGGAGAACGTAGCCAGCCATCTGCAGGCAAGATCGTTTTTTAGCTGCTTAAAATCTTTCTTATGTATTCTATTATTGCATAATGCTCCCTCCGCAGCTACAATCTCTAGTTTTCAAGCAAATTATTCCAGGATGTTTCTTGCAGAAGTATAGGCTTTACCTGAAAAGAATTAGCACCCAACAGGGTAACATGGCTGCTGCTTTAGGAGGTATTCATCTCAACATACATGTGTGTGCGTGTGCGTGAGTGCGTGTGCAGTGTCTGTGCATGTGCAAGAGAGAGAGAGAGAGAGAGAGAGAGAGAGAGAAAGATTCTTCATCCATACATAATACGAGAGAGAGGGCATTCTTCATCCATACATGTCTGTTTAATTGTGAGAGATCTTCTTCCATGCATACATGAGAGAGAGAGAGAGAGAGAGAGAGATTCTTCATCCGTGCATAAATGAGAGATAGAGGTTGATTCTTCATCCGTGCATAAATGAGAGATAGAGGTTGATTCTTCATTCGTGCATATGTGAGGAAGTGGTTCTTTGTCTGTACATAATGTGTGTGTGTGTGTGTGTGAGAGAGAGAGAGAGAGAGAGAGAGAGAGAAAGAGAGAGAGAGATTGTTCATCCATTCAAGTCTGTTTCTTAGAAACTTGGTGATTTTAATGTTTCACTTCGTGTTTTAAAACAATTCCTTATTGGATTTGAGCAGGAATGGGAGTCCTTGGCAGGCCAAATAATAGCTCCGGCAGTCTTGGATTGAGTGGCCTTCCTTCTTCAGGGGTGATCCAAGTGGGTCATGCCCATAATTCAACCAATTCCCTAAACAATTTCAGCAAATTTCATCAGATGAACTTCTCTAAAAACCTTCAAAGCTTACCGCCGTCATCATTGGAGCTTGAGCAATTCCAGCATAAACAGTTCCTTTCTCGACTTGGGGACTTAGCTACCCCTTTTGAGGATTCTTTGACCTTTCCAGTGTCTCAACAAGAAACCAATTTTGGTGGTTGTAGCAACAATGGGTCAGGTCCCAATAGCTTCAACAACCCTTTTCTTAACGATCCAAACAACTCTTTGATGCCACAGGTTATTCAAAACCGACACAAACTGGAAACCCAACCTGATCCTAGTGTTGGGTTAGGAGCCATAAACCAAGATTCATTTGAAGTTAATGGTGCATGGCACAGCAGTGCACCATCCATGGTATTTTCTCCCAACCCACTTCCAGTGAGTCTCCCTTTAAATACTGATGATATATCTCTGAATAATGTAAAGACTAATAATATGCTGTTGAGAGAGAATGGATTTGGTGGGCAGAGCATAAATTATGGATTGAAACAGGAGTGGGAAGTTCCCCACAAGCAGGCTTATGCTCATGACCCAACTCTTCTTTTGGGGTCTCAACTTAGCCCTTCATTGCCAAATGAAAATTTGATTATGCCCATTGGTCAGAACCAAGAGCAAGGGCAGATAAATGGAATGTCTGACCTAAAGATGAATTTGGTGTCGAAGGAGCAGTTTGGTCATTCTTTCCCATCTGTTGTGCCACATAGTGGGAGCGAACAGTCCATGGCAGGCAGTCAGATGAAGTTTCAGAATGTCTTTAGTTCTGATGGTTTCCCTCTTGTTGATGATATAATGAATGTTATGGTAAAGCAGGTAAACCTCTATTTGCCTTTCCTCTCCAATCTCCTAACTTCATCATGTTTCTGCAGCCATCTGTTCTTTAACTTTTTTCATGGGCTTTGAGTAATCCTATGTTTTTTCCTAAGGGATCATTTGTTTAATGTGAAAGAACTTCCCATCACCCTAGGAAAATTTGTTTGCCGAAAATGCTTCTCTATCAACCTATGAAAGCACTTACACACCGAAAATGGTGGATTCCCACTTCCTTAAAAAAAGTGGCTAGAGGCAGGAAGGCGCTTTCCCAATTGCTACAGTAAGGTCCACTTTCTCAGAAAAGAGCTTTCTGAGAAAATTCTTTCTAGAAGAATGAATCTTCGTGTAATGCTTATAGTTTTCTACTCTCTTTCTGTCCTTCACGAAATCTGATTATTTGAGTTTGTAACAATGTAAATACTGACTGAGTTATTGTATTCGTTGGATTATCATTTCATTTGGTACTAATGCTTCTGTAGAGCTTAAGATGGTGTAATGTCCTGGAGGAATATTAGAATAAATGCAAGAATCTAACAAATGGGTTAAAACAAATTTGATTCATTTGTAATAGAACCTTAGACTCATTATATATGGGGTATGGGTTATAAATGCCTGGAATGGGATATCTCATATGCTTTTCTCTTCAGCGTCGGTTTTAAATGGTGTTTTGGTTCTTTACTGTTTGTTAGATGAGCATTCAATGTTGCTTCGGCATGCTTATGTTGATTAAGAGCATACTTTCTAGGAGACTTGTCATCACTCTTTTGTAGTTTGACCAAGTAGATATCTAAGATGAAAATCTTTGTTTATATCTTTTTTGTTTGGTCAGCATGGGATTCGAACCTGGGACATAGTGTGGCAATATCAGCACCATGACCAATCAAGCCAGAGCATATTTCTCTTTTGTCATGGTAGACTCAGATTGAGAATGTGACCTATGTGTAATATTGATTATGATCAGTCTCCAACCATGGGGTCTTATTAGCTTTTAGATAAGTTGTAAAATGAGGAAAGCACTCTCGTTAATGTACTGACATGATCGATAAAGGACCTCTTTTAACTTGGGGGAACAAAATATGTTATTGTTGATACCATTTTCATTATCTTGTGATACCCTTGATGATGTGTTTGTCAAAAGTCACTGTCGGTCTCATTTATTTCTTGAAAATTTCCTTAGAAGAAAGAGTATAAAGACTATTCCACTGTGAAGATGTACAATGTTAGATGGTTGTTTTGAGTGAAGGAGAGATATGTGGAAGTGGAAACGGAATCATCATTGTTGGAACGCAACGCATGCTAGATTGACTTAGCACATCTTGAGAGGTACACGCAGTTCTTTTTTTAAGACTTCAGTAGGGAACTGTGGATCTCCATGCAGATGATTTCAGTGCCTTCGTGATCACTTCTTATCCTACAATAGCACAATTGGATATTCACTTCATATGAGACATTGCTGGAAGAAAAAAAATATTCTTTAGATTTCCACTCCAGAGCAGAGTTTAGATAAGCTATGAAGTCCTTGAACAAAGATTTTTATAATTAGTTAGTGAACAAAATGTCAATATTTCCATAGATGCTTTTGTTTGAGGGGTGTGTTGAGGCCCATTGTTTGTTCTTCCTCCAGTTGTTTGTTGTGCACATATGTGGGGGGCACTATAGTCATTTGCTAATCATGTAAAGATCATGCAGTGAAAAGGATAAAATATTATGACTCTGAATAGAACTATGGACGTAGGCTGAGATAACTATGTATTTTATGCTTCCTGGTATTGGATCACTTTACATATATAGGGGAGAACAGAGGATCTTATAATTAATTGATGTTATATGTTGGAGTATCCGTTGCAAGACTCTCCTGTTTCTAATAGCAGTAGTTCCCAGCTTTTTCTTGTTTTATAGGGTTCAAACATAACAAAATTTGAGATGAATCTCTAGGGCCATAAAATCTGCTCCTGCATCTATCATGTATCATGGTTTTGTGGTTCATGTTTTAGGATGCGTTGTTGTAGAAATGGAAACTTGGATGTCTGTGACAAGCTTAGTTTGGTGTACTGACTATTATTGGTATGGTGCTTGGTGAACTGCAGAATAAATGTTTTGAGGTGGTTACTAGGGAATATCTTTGACTTTTAGTTTTTTGGCTTATACTATGGTTACTTGCAATGTTTAGTTCTAATTATTTTCTCCCAAAAATTTTTGAAGTAGAGATTAGGAATTAAAGCATTTGCATGTAATCTGATGACCTTCACTTGGCATGCATTTGCATGTAATCAGATGACCTTGTCTTAGCTTAGTTTTCAAATATATTAATTATTTGTGTTAAACATTAGGGATAAAGTCAAATTAGTTAATTGTTGGGCGAATTTTAAAAAATTAGTTATTGGTTATTATACCCTTTTAGCAACATTTAGTTGGATCGATTTGATTCAATGAGGATCTTAGGAAGTTGCCACTTGGTTTTGGGCACCTAAACATTGATGGCATTAACTAATTGGATGTTGCATCAAATACATCCTGAATGAATGCGTCATGAGTGTAGCAAATAGCCTTTATTTAAATATCTATAAAACCTTACGGCCTTCTATTGCTACCTACAATGACAAATGAGTTTTTATAATGCATTGTGATATTTGTTTAGAACCAAATGGCACCTTCCTCACGTGTAAATATGAATTAAATTTAAAGCACCGTCCGTGAATAGGAATTTTCCTCTTGATTGTGTTGTGGATATTGTAGATCACATGCTGAACTATACATGGCTAACCCTGACTTCAAATCATTTGTTCTAGTTATGGGATTTCTAGTACAATATGTTGTTGATTATCAAATTAGTTCTTTCTTTCTCCAACTCATCAAATACGTCGCAGACTGACTCAGACCATGATTAAGTTGCTTGTTCTTTAGAATGGTTTTAGTAGTTACTGATATGCTTTCCGGCAGTGTTAAATATCACACATAATGGTTTAGATTCATTACTAAGGTGCTGTAACTCTTAATATAAGGTGCTGTAACTCTTAATATCTATAATAAATTTTTGCTTAATTCTTTGTAAATATTGAGTTGAATATCATGGCTTTCTTTTCTATTTGTTTTCTCAGAACCATATTAAATTTTACAGTTTCCGTAGCTATTTATTGTTTCTCATGGGAGCTTTCTACCCATTTTTTCCTTGCACATACTGAGAAACTTAATTTTGGTGTTTGGGGTTATGCATCTTATTAATTCTTTATCTATGTTCAGTATGTGCTTGTTAATTTGACTCTCATTGGTTGTTATTATAATGAATCAAAGAGATGTTGTTTTCAGGTAGAAAATGTTCTATAAACATTTAGGAGGCAAATAAACAACATTTCAGATTAAGACCTGCTCAAATGATCTTGATAAATCAGATGCGTTGTATCAGCACCCTGAAATAAATGGAAATGGCAGAGGGATCATTTGGTGTTTGCTTGAGGCAGCCTATGTTATTCTAGAGAAAAGAATCTCATAAAAGTATGGTTTGGTGTCATACAAATGTCAGTCCATTTAATCAGTTAGTCAATCCATGTATTTTGAGATTGATAGCCACTTTGAAATTTCTCAATGAATTCCTAGTAAGGGGTAATAACGTAGGTAAAATTTGTAATGGGTAGGTATATCTTCCATCATGGAGTACGCCCAAGCACCCCTAAATAAATGGAAATTGCAGAGGGATAATTTGGTATTCTATAGAAAGGAATCTCATAGAAGCTTGGTTTGGTGTCGTGCAAATGTCTGTCCATTTAACCAGTCAGTCAATCCATGTATTTTGAGATGGATGCCACTTTGAAATTTCTCAATGAATTTCTAGTAAAGGGCTAATAACGTCGATGAAATTTGTAATGGGTAGGTATATCTTCCATCATGGAGTACGCCCACCTATAAGGCCCCATTCTCAAATAAATTTTTAAGATCGTTATAACTTCCTGGCCCATGAGATTCTTGTGGCCAAATTTCAATTGTTCACCTCTTATCTGCCTAATGTCTGTATAATGAAATGCTTCTCCCAGCAAACTTGTAGGCGACTTTGCAGTGTGTGATATGGCATTAAAATGTTTGGACCTTAGGTCACCGAGCCACAACCTACAATACCATGTTGGACAATCTCTCGTCGTTGGGACAAGACAGGCATTTAATTGCTATGGAACTTATTTTCTGCATCCTGAAGTGATGAAAAATATAAATATTAGTCAGTGACAAATGTGTGAGCAAAAGAGCTTCTAGGCATTCTATTATAGCTTAAAACCACAGAAAAAGTACAAAAAACAAAAGTGAAGGTTCCGAAGTCATTTGTTCGATCTATAAGGGGAGAGTGTAAGCTAAGGGTATGAAGGTGTGTTGAGGCTAAGGTTATGGATCAACTTGTTCAGTTGAAGAAAGTGAGATGTTTATGAAATAGTTTGAGTTTAACTTGCGTTCTCGGCACTGTTTTAGCTGTTCTACAAATTGGACAGGCTAAGTTTACAAAGTCACTTTGTGAGGTACAGAGCATGACGGTAGCTCTAGAGACTTCCTATTGGTTTTGATGTACTTCATTCTACAAAACCAAGGGGCTGCCATGTTGAGCATGGCAAGACTAAGGAATGAGGATGTTAAGCAATGGAGACTCTATAAATAAGATACCATTTTTGTGCTCTCTTTTGTTTTCATGTTTTCTATCCAACATGTTTGCCTCATCGTATAATTTTTATCTTTGCCCTACTGTGAAATGTATGAGTTGCTATTATGCCACAGGATCTTAATTGTAGACCCCTCCAAGTTTTGATGTATTAAGACCCATTTGAACAATCAGAATCTATTTTTGTGCAGGAAATCTCCGAAATGGGGTTATTAGATGGAGACATTGGATGCGATATTTATTCTCTCAGAACATGTATTTGAATCGCCAGTGCCTTTCTCGACCTCAGAGAAGGCTTCCCTCGAGTTTGTACCACCATTTAATTTCTCTCTTTTCAATTCTCCCTGTGTATTCCATTTCCAATTCCTCAAGCCTTTTTTGGTGTTGCCTAGGGATGATCTGATTTGGCTTTCTGTTTGAGTTGGCTTATTCTGATTATTCTTATCAGTGCTTGAATAATCCTGACCAGCTCTGATGATGTTTCTTAATAACTAGTGCTAATATGATTGTAAATTCATGGTAATGACAGCAGGTTTGCTTTCTAGTCTCTCTCTCTCTCTCTCTCTCTCTCTCTCTCTGTGGCGGAGTACTTGAATAATCTCGACAACATTTTTGTATATATATATATAAAAGTTGAAGCTGCTCTTGCCCTTGCCATTACCTCACCAATGAATTGAGGCTGGGTATCATTCATGGGAGTTCCACCGTTACTTCTCTCACTTATTTAAGACAACTTGGGTCTAAATAAAAATTTATGGAAAAATAATAAGTACGCTTGAAAGTTTTCTCATTTTTTATTTGTTCTTCTGTATTATTGTACACTGTATCCAAGCTGATATGATACAGATACAGATAAGGGAAAGCCATGTGGCGTCCAATGTATACTATTTTTTTTTTTTTGTCTTTGTAGAGGTTAACCCAGTTTGAGTCTTCTCATTTAGAGATGATTTGCCTTGAAAAAAGTGTTGTGATCTTCTTTAAAATGAGAAATGCTTTCTTTCTTATTTTTAAATCTCTTTTGAGTATTGGAAATTCCTTACTGATGTTTTTACTTTCGATCTGGAGTGGGAGAGGATTTGTTATGGTTTCTTCCATTTTGTTTTAACTTTTTGGAAAGTGGGACCAAGAGGTTTTACTAGATATTCCAAAAATGGGATGTGATGATATTTCTTAAAAGAAAAAAAAAGTTCGAAAGGTGACAAATGGAGCTATTAGTCATAATTGTACGAGAAGATCCTTTGAAGCTCGAAATCTAGCAATGCAAAGCAACAGTGCCATAGAATAATGGAAGAAAGGAATTGAAAAGAAATCATGGAAGCCTACTTTGTTATGGGTGTTGAGTGGAACAATGTTATCATATTCTTTTGGGAGGGGTGTTCGTTTGGTTAGAAAAGGGTATTGCATCGGTTTTCCTGCAGATTCTCAAGATTTGGAACGAGTCTGTCTGTGATTTGTCTCTGAACCCCGTCTCTCTAAAACCTCTTGAATTTGTAACGCTTTTCATAATTCAAAGGTGGGTTTTGAGTAATCTCTATTTAATCTTTTGGTATAAACTACCTTCAAGAGATTGAGCTTTTATTTTTCCCTCTTGATTCTGGGCAGTTTCATAGAATCAGACATGCTAAACCTCAAGTTTGCAAGTTTTAACAAAATCAAAGATATCGAGTTGTTTACATTTTTTGTTTAGGAAAATTGTTTCATGGGCGGGGACTGCATTTCTTCATATATGGTATAAAGCATCCATCTCAAAGATGGATGTAAATAGGTGATCCATTTAAAAACAATTGAAACTAATGGTTCAAATGTTTTTTTAATAAAATTATTATTTTTATTATTTTTATTGTATTTTATTATTTATTTATTTATTTCATATTCATGATCTCTATGTTAGAGACTGCATGCCCTTAAAAATTAAGTTAAAAAATCCATCTCAAAAATATATTTTCAAGAGGACGACTCATTTCTACGTGGACACGCTATATGGAGTGACAGGGATATCTTAGTATCTACATCACAAAAGTCTATTGTGAGTGAACAGAGACCACTTTTTAACTGCATCATAAAAGTTGAGAAAGAGAGAGAGAGAGAGAGAGCAACTACATCACAAAAGTTGATTTGAGAGAGATAGAGTTTTGGCATTTGGGAAGCTATAGAGAGAGCGTCGTCTCCCAATAAAGTTAACAAATAATTAGCCTGGCACCTCCAAGTTACTACTGGTCATGAACATGCTCCAATATTACAAGCTCTCTAAGCTTTTTTAAAGCCACAATCTCTCTCCTCGGTAATAGTATTTTATTAGAACCGGATCGGTCATTGAACCGTTGAGGCTGGCTCTAGTTCAATAACTGGATGGACAAAATTTCAAAATATAAAAGAATTATAATTTGAAAAAAATGAAACATACTCAAGAAATAAAAAGTTCATATACGATTGAGGATTAAGCAATCAAATTAAGGTGCACCTTGAAAATCTACTAGAAGAGGTTGTTTCAATGTCAAAAAATCTTTAAATCGTTCATCTTGATCTCGAGATGTATAGCTATGAAAAAAAATGGATTACCGATCTAGAAAATAGTGCTTTTTGTGATACATTTATTGGGCCATAAATTTCAATATTTTCAAGTATTTATAGATCTACTCAATCTATAATATTTTTGAAGCTTTAAATTTTATATTTAGAGAAAAAAATAAATTTTCAGGTCATAACAAAAAATTTTGCTATTGAAAATTTATCTTTGGACACTATTTAGATGTACGCTTTACTGATTGTTTCGGGCTCAACCTTATGCAAAGCACACCCGCTTGTTTGAGCATCCAAAGCTGATTAAATATCAGTTTGACTAATAACCTAATCTTTATTTTAGACCAAACTTACGAAGGCAGTAGTACGAATTTCATGTAACCAGTTTGACCCGGTCATAATTACATTAAATTATAGCCAATTGAAATTTTTTTCAGCATTTTTTTTGTTTTCCTATTGCAAATGCTATCCAAATAAGTACAAAAAGAAAGCATTGTATGGGTATACTACCTCTTATCAAAATGTCACAATCGGTCTTACTGCAACACATGGCCCCTGGGCCTCATGTTCCATTTCGAAACACCTCGACATATGGGGTCGTTACCCATTGTGATTGGAGGATCATGTGGGGACATGAAAATTCAATTACTTTCACTCTCGTTCATGCTCCTCTTTGTTACAAAATGCGAAATTTTAATATACATTTGTCGCCTCTCAATATCTATATTGGGAATATATATATTGGGATTGTATATAATGAAACCGTTTACCTTTAGTACAAGGAAATCACAATTACTTACAACTATCTGATGTGAAATCTAATTGTTTGCGTATGTCATAGAGTACGAGAAAATTTCTTCTAAACTTTGAGCTTGGTCGATGAAATAAATATAGCTACCCAATTTCACATCCAATGGTCAAGATTAATTGTAACTACCTTATACAAAAGGTAAATGACATCATCTTATACTTTTCCCTATCTGCCCACAGGCTGACAGCTATAGTGTCAGCCAGCAGCTCATATTCAATCTGGGCTCAATCCATTGGTCACGACCTCATTTTGTATTTCAATTTTCATTTTTTTTATACAAATCAAAATCACTTGAAATTTTGAGTGTCTATTCTTCAAAAATAGAATAATCTAATTAAAAAATAATAATAATTTATAAAATATAAATTGACCAAAATACCTCTGAAATGTTTTGGGGGTATTTTGCTCAATTTATATTTTATAAATTATTTTTTATATTTTTATTAGGTGCGCCTTGATGAGAAGAATAGTATATTGTCAATATTACTAACTTTATTCATAAAGAAAACTTATAAAGCAATTACAAAGCCAAAAAGTACTTAAATCATGAGCCACTAACAATTCCTATATAAAAATACCGTTCTTAGCAACAAGTCGGTCTGCAATGTTATTAATTTCTCTATATACGTGTAAAAATGATGTTGAAAGAGTAAAAAAATTCCATTATCTCCACCAACACATATCTAAGAGACCAAGGTACCCTTTGCTTCTTTTTGCACCTGATATCGATTTAATCTCCCTCCACCACCAAATTTCCATTAATTTGGCTCTCCTTAAAGATCTTCAAGCCCTGCAGAAGTGAAGATATCTATACCTAGTTTCCTAAGACACATCTACAAGGTCCAGAATGATAGAAAAATGATATCCCCATATGTTTCTAAGTATTCCACTTACTCCAGTAGGTCCTGGATTCTCCAATGAACTTCCTATATAGGTCAACGACCATGGTTTACAAAATATGCCACATTGTGACACTTATAGACACCGAAATTGATGTTGATGTAACACTAGTCACAAGCCTTGTCGGTTTTTTGAGGCCTAGCTCTAAGGACTTTCTTAATTCGATGGCCCACCTTTTAAATTCAGTTTAGTTTAATGCATTGAAGTTATGTCCCATTGGATCTGTATACTCAATTTCTGAAAATGAAAGGTAGATGCAAGCAGTCATGTTCATGTTAAGTTTACAGCGTAATTGTTTTAAATAAATCTTAGAAATGGACCATTAGTGAATAATAACAAATGCAGCTTCTATGCCCAAAACATCGTTTCCATTTTTCTGAAAAGGGTTATTTGTCAGTATGCAGTAGCAAATCATAGTGTAGGAAATAATGCTTGCAGTAAGTGGAACATCTCTCTCTCTACTGGATGCTGGTTATCTTGTCTTAGTACAATGGAAGCAAATGATTTATTTCTTGCATCTGAATAATAGAATGCTGTTAAAATTTATCATTTATCAAGGGGAACTGATTCAAAATGGTTCCTCATCTCCACCGTTTTATTTCATAGATGACTTCTTCTACTATGATTTATAGAATTTACAGTTGGGAACTTACTTATCAAAGTCGCAATTGGAGATGTTTGATTAGACTTGATATTAAATAGGGCACGTAATTATTTAGCTATATTAAATAATAGAAAAGTATACAAAGAGACTATTTATATTTAGTACAAAGAGGTCACAATGATAGATTTCAAATTAGGTGGTTGTGAGAGTGTCATTGCTTAGATTCAAAGCTCCAAATTTTTTTTTTTTCAAATTTTGTGTCACAATCCAAGATATCCAAGTAATAACCTCATTGTGACAAATATAAATAGTATTATAGTATACAATCCCTTATATAATACGTGTTTGTA